GCAGATTTGGATGAAGGAGACAAACTCTTTCATTTCATACTAAGGTCTGGATCTGCTCCATTGACTCCGTGAACAGGTGGGAGGGGTTTTCCTTTTGTAGATTGAAACGATTGGATCTGAGTTTACCGTGACGTATGTAATGAGCTCGAGTGTGTTGTTAGCATTTAGCATTTAGCTTAGCTTTAGCCATCTCCTTTGCCGCTAACGGAGCCTGTGGGCAGTAGCGCCACAATTGATTCTAGCGATTACATTTGCTAAACATTACTTTACTATCAGATTTTTCGCTGTCGCCAAACTAGGTAAGGCAAGGCAAGTTTATTTGTATAGCACAATTCATACACAAGGCAACTCAAAGTGCTGAACAAAACAAGAAAGCATTAAAAAGAAAGATGAAACACACAACGAACACACAACACACAACACACACACACACACACAGAATCCTAACACCATTAGTATTATGCTGCTAACCCTGTCACCACAGTAACCAAAGCCCTTTTTACCAAACCAAAACTGAAAAAATGAAAACATGATAAAAACCAACAACAGACTCACACCTACTAGATCAGGCCATTCAGGAGGGGAGGCATGCGCTCTAGAGGTGACTCCCCTGGAGCGCAGACCTCCCACAGACCCCTGGATTTTTAATGCATAACATAAGCCACACTCAACACACACATACAATACACACAAGATTAAACAAGGAAGTGGCCCTGCTGTTGCTGGAGGAGACCCCTCCAGCAACAGCATGTTCTGTGCATATCTGGTGCATGTTTTTAATGCACTAGACGCGCACAAAAAATAAATAAATGAAAAAATACAAATAATAATAATAATACAAAATAAGAAAATAAATATATTGTCACATAAACAGCCAAAATACGTTACTGGGATCTGTGGAGACAGCAAGTGGCAGCACTCATTTTTTTTTTTTTTTTTTCTGTTTTATTCACTGTTATTGCTCTGTTTTTCTATTTTTTCTATTTCTTCTTCAGACACATATGGTCACACATTTATACATATACACAAACATTCAAATACATTAACACCCACACTTACACATTAGCACCTACATATTTCCACGACAGTACTTGCTTGTTATTTTATTTAGTATTTTGTTTTTCTTTGTTTCATGCTCTGGATGCCTTAAAAATGCCCCCCCCCCACTCCCCCTTCCCTCCTCCACCAATATATTTTGCACTACTATGTTGCACATAGTAATTTATGTTTTTTATGGAATCTGTATCACATGGTGTTAAATAAAACAAATAAATAAATAAATAAATAAAACTGTGCTCCTCAGAGTCCCAGCAGGAGTCCAGTCCCTGTGCTCCTCAGAGTCCCAGCAGGAGTCCAGTCCCTGTGCTCCTCAGAGTCCCAGCAGGAGTCCAGTCCCTGTGCTCCTCAGAGTCCGGGCTGGTTCATATGGGACTAACATGTCACTAATATATTTTGGTGCGAGGCCATGGAGAGACTTGTACACAAGCAAAGCTGTTTTAAAGTCTATTCTCTGAGCCACAGGAAGCCAGTGCAGAGACCTCAGGACTGGACTAATGTGGTCGTACTTCCTGGTTCTAGTCAGGACTAATGTGGTCGTACTTCCTGGTTCTAGTCAGGACTAATGTGGTCGTACTTCCTGGTTCTAGTCAGGACTAATATGGTCGTACTTCCTGGTTCTAGTCAGGACTGGAGCTGCTGCATTTTGAATGTACTGCAGCTGTTTTACAGCCTGTTTGGACAGACCTGTGAGCAGGCCATTGCAGTAGTCTAACCTACTGGAGACAAATGCATGGATAAGAATCTCCAAGTCTGCTTTAGACACTATGTTTTTGATCCTGGCAATGTTTTTTAGATGGTAAAAAGCTGCTGATGTTACTGATTTGATGTGGCTATTAAAATTTAAGTCTGAGTCCAGTATTACCCCTAGATTTCTGACCTTGTTTGAAGGTTTTAGGGAGAGAGACTGTAGGTGACAGATGACGCTCTCTCTTTGTTTCTGGGGACCAAAGACAATCATTCAAACCACAACCTGCCCGTTCGACGCAAACTCTTGACGTCACCCACATCTAACTGCAACACTCTCCCTCCGCGCTCTCTGATTGGTTGGTCAAAATTCAACTGATTGTATTCGCAGACACAGGGACCAGACCCAGACGTTACATTCAGTGAAATGATGATTGAGCGGAGTGTACGGATGGATAAGGCCAGACTACATGTTCACAGACCTGCAGTTGTTTTTAGATCCATCCACACACGTAGCTCCGCCCCTTCTGTCTAAAAGCCCCTGTCTCAGTCCTGTAATACTATGATGTCATTGTACCTCACATCACACTCTGCTTTATTTGCCACAGGATAACATAAACTGAGGACTGAGCCTGTAGACCAGGACTGAGGCTATAGACTCAGGACTGAGGCTGTAGATCCAGGACTGAGGCTATAGATCCAGGACTGAGGCTATAAACTCAGGACTGAGGCTGTAGACCCAGGACTGAGGCTGTAGACCCAGGACTGAGGCTGTAGATACAGGACTGAGGCTGTAGACCCAGGACTGAGGCTGTAGATCCAGGACTGAGGCTGTAGATCCAGGACTAAGGCTGTAGACCCAGGACTGAGACTGTAGACCCATGACTGAGGCTGTAGACCCAGGACTGAGGCTGTAGACCCAGGACTGAGGCTGTAGACCCAGGACTGAGGCTGTAGATCCAGGACTGAGGCTGTAGATCCAGGACTGAGGCTGTAGACCCAGGACTGAGGCTGTAGATCCAGGACTGAGGCTGTAGATCCAGGACTAAGGCTGTAGACCCAGGACTGAGACTGTAGACCCAGGAATGAGGCTGTAGACCCAGGACTGAGGCTGTAGACCCAGGACTGAGGCTGTAGATCCAGGACTGAGGCTGTAGATCCAGGACTAAGGCTGTAGATCCAGGACTAAGGCTGTAGATCCAGGACTAAGGCTGTAGATCCAGGACTGAGACTGTAGACCCAGGACTGAGGCTGTAGATCCAGGACTGAGGCTGTAGATCCAGGACTGAGACTGTAGACCCAGGACTGAGGCTGTAGATCCAGGACTGAGGCTGTAGATCCAGGACTGAGGCTGTAGATCCAGGACTAAGGCTGTAGACCCAGGACTGAGGCTGTAGACCCAGGACTGAGGCTGTAGACCCAGGACTGAGGCTGTAGACCCAGGACTGAGGCTGAAGACCCAGGACTGAGGCTGTAGATCCAGGACTGAGGCTGTAGACCCAGGACTGAGGCTGTAGATCCAGGACTGAGGCTGTAGATCCAGGACTAAGGCTGTAGACCCAGGACTGAGACTGTAGACCCAGGACTGAGGTTGTAGACCCAGGACTGAGGCTGTAGATCCAGGACTGAGGCTGTAGATCCAGGACTGAGGCTGTAGACCCAGGACTGAGGCTGTAGATCCAGGACTGAGGCTGTAGATCCAGGACTGAGGCTGTAGATCCAGGACTAAGGCTGTAGACCCAGGACTGAGACTGTAGACCCAGGACTGAGGCTGTAGACCCAGGACTGAGGCTGTAGACCCAGGACTGAGGCTGTAGATCCAGGACTGAGGCTGTAGACCCAGGACTGAGGCTGTAGATCCAGGACTGAGGCTGTAGATCCAGGACTAAGGCTGTAGACCCAGGACTGAGACTGTAGACCCAGGACTGAGGCTGTAGATCCAGGACTAAGGCTGTAGATCCAGGACTGAGACTGTAGATCCATGACTGAGGCTGTAGACCCAGGACTGAGGCTGTAGATCCAGGACTAAGGCTGTAGACCCAGGACTGAGACTGTAGACCCAGGACTGAGGCTGTAGACCCAGGACTGAGGCTGTAGACCCAGGACTGAGGCTGTAGACCCAGGACTGAGGCTGTAGATCCAGGACTGAGGCTGTAGATCCAGGACTGAGGCTGTAGACCCAGGACTGAGGCTGTAGACCCAGGACTGAGGCTGTAGACCCAGGACTGAGGCTGTAGACCCAGGACTGAGGCTGTAGATCCAGGACTAAGGCTGTAGACCCAGGACTGAGACTGTAGACCCAGGACTGAGGCTGTAGACCCAGGACTGAGGCTGTAGACCCAGGACTGAGGCTGTAGATCCAGGACTAAGGCTGTAGACCCAGGACTGAGGCTGTAGATCCAGGACTGAGGCTGTAGACCCAGGACTGAGGCTGTAGACCCAGGACTGAAGCTGTAGACCCAGGACTGAGGCTGTAGATCCAGGACTGAGGCTGTAGATCCAGGACTGAGGCTGTAGACACAGGACTGAGGCTGTAGACCCAGGACTGAGGCTTTAGACACAGGACTAAGGCTGTAGACCCAGGACTGAGGCTGTAGACCCAGGACTGAGGCTTTAGACCCAGGACTGAGGCTGTAGACCCAGGACTGAGGCTGTAGACCCAGGACTGAGGCTGTAGACCCAGGACTGAGGCTGTAGACCTAGGACTGAGGCTGTAGACCCAGGACTGAGGCTGTAGATCCAGGACTAAGGCTGTAGACCCAGGACTGAGGCTGTAGACCCAGGACTGAGGCTGTAGATCCAGGACTAAGGCTGTAGATCCAGGACTAAGGCTGTAGACCCAGGACTAAGGCTGTAGACCCAGGACTGAGACTGTAGACCCAGGACTGAGGCTGTAGATCCAGGACTAAGGCTGTAGACCCAGGACTGAGACTGTAGACCCAGGACTGAGGCTGGAGACCCAGGACTGAGGCTGTAGACCCAGGACTGAGGCTGGAGACCCAGGACTGAGGTTGTAGACCCAGGACTGAGGCTGGAGACCCAGGACTGAGACTGTAGACCCAGGACTGAGGCTGTAGACCCAGGACTGAGGCTGTAGACCCAGGACTGAGACTGTAGATCCAGGTCTGAAGAACCAAAGGAAAGTTTAGTGGATGAATTTGCCCCAAACTTTGAAACTGAACGTGTGAGTGAATTGTTACAGAATCTGCATCTTTTTGAAAAACTCTGCGTTGTCCATGTTTTGTTTTTCAGCAGTTTCACCAGAACAAGAGAAAGTCCATCCCATAAACGATCAGGAGTGCTGAGTCCACGGCTTTTACGACGGGATAAAACCTGAGAAACAGCAGCTCGACACCGACTTCTGCAGCGCCGCATCTGAGGAGAAGAAAGAGTCAGGAAAGTGCTGAGAGAAACTGTGTAATCGATTTGTTATCTGGAAATGAGACCGAGGAGGCTCAGAGCTGGGGCCGGGACTTTAGCCAGTTTACACGAGGACATTTTCTCAGATCTCTCACTGGTCTTTCTTTGTTTTCTCTCTAGTCTCTGTCTGCTGTTGCTCTGGTCAGCCTCTGGTCTCTCTCTGGTCTCTCTCTGTGGTCTGTCTGGTCTCACTCAGATCTCTCTCTGGTCTCTCTTCGCCCTCCCTCTTGTCTGACTCTGTTCTACCTCTGGTCTCGCTCTGGTCTCTCTCTGGATTCTCTCTGGACTCTCTCCGGTCTCCCTCTTGTCTGCCTCGGTTCTCTCTCTAGTCTCTCTCTGGTCTTTCTCTGGTCTCTCTCTCTCTATTCTCTCTTTGGTCTCGCTCTGGTCTCTCATTACATTATTCAGGCCTAAGACAGACACGAGGCCCATGGTTACTCTGACGGAGCTGCAGACATCCACACCCGGGGGAATCTGTGCACAGGGCAATTATTAGCTCTCCATAAATCTCGAGTTTATGGACGAGAGGAAGAATTTGGTCAGAGGAGACTAGAAGTTACCTTTTTGGCCCAAATGCAAAATATTATGAATGTTCATCATTTTTTAATCAATTTCTGGGTCGGGGGGTGGCACTATCCTGTCCTGTATGACACCCTCTGCAGGACACCCTCTGCATGACACCCTCTGTATGACTCCCTCTGTATAACACCCTCTGTATGACACCCTCTGTATGACTCCCTCTGTATGACACCCTCTGCATGACACCCTCTGTATGACACCCTCTGTATGACACCCTCTGTATAACTCCCTCTGCAGGACACCCTCTGTATGACACCCTATGTATGACACCCTCTGTATGACACCCTCTGTATAACTCCCTCTGCAGGACACCCTCTGTATGACACCCTCTGTATGACTCCCTCTGTATGACACCCTCTGTATGACACCCTCTGTATGACACCCTCTGCAGGACACCCTCTGTATAACACCCTCTGCATGACACCCTCTGTATGACACCCTCTGCAGGACAACCTCTGCAGGACACCCTATGTATGACACCCTTTGTATAACACCCTCTGTAATACACCCTCTGTATGACACCCTCTGCAGGACTCCCTCTGTATGACTCCCTCTGTATGACACCCTCTGTATGACACCCTCTGTATGACACCCTCTGTATGACTCCCTCTGTATGACACCCTCTGTATGACACCCTCTGTATGACACCCTCTGTATGACACCCTTTGTATAACACCCTCTGCATGACTCCCTCTGTATGACTCCCTCTGCAGGACACCCTCTGTATGACACCCTCTGTATGACACCCTCTGTATGACACCCTCTGTATGACTCCCTCTGTATGACTCCCTCTGCAGGACACCCTCTGCATGACACCCTCTGCATGACACCCTCTGTATGACTCCCTCTGCAGGACACCTTCTGTAAGACTCCCTCTGCATGACACCCTCTGTATGACACCCTCTGCATGACACCCTCTGTATGACTCCCTCTGCATGACACCCTCTGTATGACTCCCTCTGCAGGACACCCTCTGTATGACACCCTCTGCATGACTCCCTCTGTATGACACCCTCTGCAGGACACCCTCTGCATGACTCCCTCTGTATGACACCCTCTGTATGACACCCTCTGCAGGACACCCTCTGCATGACTCCCTCTGTATGACACCCTCTGTATGACTCCCTCTGCAGGACACCCTCTGTATGACTCCCTCTGCAGGACACCCTCTGCAGGACACCCTCTGTATGACACCCTCTGCATGACACCCTCTGTATGACTCCCTCTGCAGGACACCCTCTGTATGACACCCTCTGCATGACTCCCTCTGCAGGACACCCTCTGTATGACTCCCTCTGCAGGACACCCTCTGCAGGACACCCTCTGCAGGACACCCTCTGCAGGACACCCTCTGTATGACACCCTCTGTATGACACCCTCTGCATGACACCCTCTGTATGACTCCCTCTGTATGACTCCCTCTGCATGACACCCTCTGTATGACTCCCTCTGTATGACTCCCTCTGCATGACACCCTCTGTATGACACCCTCTGTATGACACCCTCTGCATGACACCCTCTGTATGACTCCCTCTGCAGGACACCCTCTGTATGACTCCCTCTGTATGACTCCCTCTGTATGACACCCTCTGTATGACACCCCTCTGCATGACACCCTCTGCATGACACCCTCTGCATGACACCCTCTGTATGACTCCCTCTGTATGACTCCCTCTGCATGACACCCTCTGTATGACTCCCTCTGCAGGACACCCTCTGCATGACACCCTCTGCATGACACCCTCTGTATGACACCCTCTGCATGACACCCTCTGTATGACACCCTCTGCATGACACCCTCTGCATGACACCCTCTGTATGACACCCTCTGCATGACACCCTCTGCATGACACCCTCTGCATGACACCCTCTGTATGACACCCTCTGTATGACACCCTCTGCATGACACCCTCTGCATGACACCCTCTGTATGACACCCTCTGCATGACACCCTCTGCAGGACACCCTCTGTATGACACCCTCTGCATGACACCCTCTGTATGACTCCCTCTGCAGGACACCCTCTGTATGACTCCCTCTGTATGACTCCCTCTGTATGACACCCTCTGTATGACACCCTCTGCATGACACCCTCTGCATGACACCCTCTGCATGACACCCTCTGTATGACTCCCTCTGTATGACTCCCTCTGCATGACACCCTCTGTATGACTCCCTCTGCAGGACACCCTCTGCATGACACCCTCTGCATGACACCCTCTGTATGACACCCTCTGCATGACACCCTCTGTATGACACCCTCTGCATGACACCCTCTGCATGACACCCTCTGTATGACACCCTCTGCATGACACCCTCTGTATGACACCCTCTGCATGACACCCTCTGCATGACACCCTCTGTATGACACCCTCTGCATGACACCCTCTGCATGACACCCTCTGTATGACACCCTCTGCATGACACCCTCTGCATGACACCCTCTGTATGACACCCTCTGCATGACACCCTCTGCAGGACACCCTCTGTATGACACCCTCTGTATGACTCCCTCTGTATGACACCCTCTGGCCGCTCAGAGGAGTAATTGTAGCAACAGGCTCCTCTCTCTGCGCTGCCGAACGGATCGTCGTAAGAGACACAAGCTGAGTCTCCTGCTGCAGGGATCAATAAAGTCTCCCTGAGCTCCTCTCTCTTTGGAGGAAGTGTGTGTGGAGAGGGCAGTCTGGGCGGTCTGCTTAGACTGCTGCCCCCGTGACGCAGCTACAGATAAAGCGGAAGAAAATGGATGGATGGAACGGTGAAGATTTCCAGGGTGAATATAATCTTCCCGTCTCTGGCTGAGCTGACGTCGGCTGAACCAGGACTGGACTCTGGGGCCGCGCTGATGTCACTGCTCTTTGTTTACTGCTGTTATTTGAGTTTTGTGATGAGGCTTAGACCTGGAGGACCGCTCAGACCTGGACCAGACCTGGAGGACCGCTCAGACCTGGACCGGACCTGGAGGCTCAGACCTGGAGGATGAGACCTGGACCAAACCTGGAGGATCGGACCTGGAGGATCAGACCTGGACCAGACCTGGACCAGACCTGGAGGATCGGACCTGGAGGATCAGACCTGGACCAGACCTGGAGGATGAGACCTGGACCAGACCTGGAGGACCACTCAGACCTGGACCAGACCTGGACCAAACCTGGAGGATCAAACCTGGACCAGACCTGGAGGATCTCTCAGACCTGGACCAGACCTGGAGGATCGCTCAGACCTGGACCATACCTGGAGGATCGCTCAGACCTGGACCATACCTGGAGGATCTCTCAGACCTGGACCAGACCTGGAGGATCGCTCAAACCTGGACCAGACCTGGAGGATCGCTCAGACGTGGACCAGACCTGGAGGATCGCTCAGACCTGGAGGACCTCTCAGACCTGGACCAGACCTGGAGGACCTCTCAGACCTGGACCAGACCTGGAGGACCTCTCAGACCTGGACCAGACCTGGAGGACCTCTCAGACCTGGACCAGACCTGGAGGATCGCTCAGAGCCGTGGGTTTTGCAGGTTTCTGTAGTTTTCCCGTTGCTCTGGTTGCGCTGCTGCTGATCCTGTTAGCGCTTTAGAGACGCATCATTACCGCCTTAATCCAGTTTAAGCCGGTTCCCACTCAGCGGCGTCAGTCCCAAACACTTTTATTCTGTTGTGACATGAGTCTGAATAAAGAAACAGGAAAACTATCATCTATGTAAGGATTTCATTCATTTCATTCATTCAGGATTTCATTCATTTATGTCGTTTGTTCAGCAGAAAGAAAGGTAAGGCAAGTTTATTTGTATGGCACAGTTCATACACAAGGCATTAAAATCATTAATCATGAAGAATTACCCAATGCTTTTGTGCTTTTGTACGGCGTCTTCTTTCCTCTTGGAAACGGCTTTACAGGATGGGTCAAAAGTGGCTCTTGGTCCAACTGGTTCCAGATGCTGTTGATGCCGAGGGACCAGTCTAGTTTAACCGCTGTGGCCTTCTGAATGCTGAATTAATTGGGCTAGTGGCGATAACACATGCGCAAATGTGTGTTTTTTATTTTTCACATCTTCCAGCCCTGCCGCCATTTTCAAACTCCCCGCAGAAGGAAAAAGTGGTGATGCATTAGTTTCAAACACAGAGATAAACACAACTACATCTGTTAATATTTACAGAACATTGTCAACATTTCTCCTCAGAGTCCCAGCAGAAGGCCAGTCCCTGTGCTCCTCAGAGTCCCAGCAGGAGGCCCGTCCCTGTGCTCCTCAGAGTCACAGCAGGAGGCCCGTCCCTGTGCTCCTTAGAGTCCCAGCAGGAGGCCGGTCCCTGTGCTCAATCAATCAATCAATCAATCTTTATTTATAGGGCGCTTTTCCTGCACAGGGCAACACAAAGCGCCTCACAGTCCACACCACACAATGCACAAATCATCACCATTAAAATACAATTAAAAACACATATGTAATTAAAAAGCATTAAAATCACATAAGTAATTTAAAAACATAAGAATCACACAAGTAATTAAAAACAATAAAATAGTTAAAAACACAAAAAGTTACAACAATAAATAACAAGGTGTGTTAAAAAGATAAAATTCTCTAGTTGTATGCACAGGAAAAAAGAAAAGTCTTTAACATGGATTTGAACATTGACAGAGAGGCAGCCAGTCTCACATCCTCAGGAAGACTGTTCCAGACTTTAGCTGCATAAATCTGAAAAGCAGCCTCCCCCTGTCTAGTCCTGACTCTGGGCACTAACAGGAGTCCCTTCCCTGCGCTCCTCAGAGTCCGGGCTGGTTCATATGGGACTAGCATATCATGGATGTACTTTGGTGCAAGGCCATGGAGAGACTTGTACACCAGGAGAGCTGCTTTAAAGTCTATCCTCTGGGCCACGGGAAGCCAGTGCAGAGACCTGAGGACCGGACTAATGTGGTCGTACTTCCTGGTTCTAGTCAGGACTCGGGCTGCAGCATTTTGAATATACTGCAGCTGTTTTATTGCATGTTTGGAGATACCTGTGAGCAGGCCATTGCAGTAATCCAGCCTACTGGAAACAAAAGAATGGATAAGAATCTCCAAGTCTGCCCTGGACACAATATTTTTAATTTTGGCAATATTTTTCAGATGATAAAAAGCTGCTGATGTTACCGATCCAATGTGGCTATTGAAGTTTAAGTCAGAGTCCATTATTACTCCCAGATTTCTGACCTTATTTAAAGGCCCCAGGGAGAGAGACTGAAGGTGACAAATGACGGTCTCTCTTTGTTTCTCGGGACCAAAGACAATCATTTCGGTTTTGTCCGCATTTAGCTGGAGAAAATTGCATTGCATCCACTCACTGATCCGCTGGATACAGCGAAGGAGTGAGTCCACTGGTCCATGCTCTCCTGCAGTCAGTGAGACATAGATCTGAGTGTCATCAGCGTAATTGTGGTAGGACACTTTCATACTTTGAATTAACTGACCTAATGGCAGCATGTAAATATTGAACAGGAGAGGTCCATGAATCGACCCCTGTGGCACTCCGCAGGTCAGGGCCATATTATCTGAGACATAGTCTCCAATCTCCACACAATACTTCCTTTCTTCTAGATAGGACCTAAACCAGCTTAGGGCGGTACCAGCAACACCAACCCAGTCCTCCAGTCTCTGCATGAGAATCTCATGGTCAACGGTGTCGAAAGCGGCACTCAGATCTAACATGACTAAAACAGAGACTTTTCCTGCATCAGTGTTAAGCCGAATATCATTTGTTACCTTGACTAGAGCGGTCTCAGTACTGTGGTGTGGTCTAAAGCCAGACTGGAACATGTCAAATGAGTCATTAGATATTAAAAATTCAGTAAGTTGTTGGTAGGCAACTTTTTCAAGAATTTTTCCCATGAAAGGCAGATTTGAGATGGGACGGTAATTTTCAAGTACCGCAGCATCCAAACTGCTCTTTTTTTAGGAGGGGCCTGATGACTGCCTTTTTCAGGGCCATTGGAAATGTTCCAGATAAAAAAGACATGTTTACTATTTGTGTCAATGAGGGTAATAGACTACACATAACAGACTTCAGAAATCTAGGAGGTAGTACATCCAGACTGCAGGTAGAGGAACTAAGACCTGTGATTATCTTTTTAACAGTTTCATCATTGACAGGTGCAAATTGAGCTAGCTCACAAAGCCTCACTGGATGTTGCATTGTTTACTTGTGTTGTAGAGGTGATGGCATTTCTGATACCCTGAACCTTGTCTCTGAAGAACTGTGCAAACTCATTACACCTGGATTTGGAGTAGTGTTCTAATGGCAACTCAACAGGGGGGTTCGTTAATCTATTGATTGTTGAAAATAGAACACGCAGATTGTTGCTGCATAGCCTTCAATAGTTTCAGAGTAGTACTCTGTTCAACTCACACAACTTCTCTTTTAAGGTGGTCTGGTAGCAAAACACATGTTAAAAAATACACAGAAATGATCCGACAGAGCAACATCAACTACATTAACTTTTGAAATATTCACCCCCTTTCGTGATAAGCAGGTCCAGGGTGTGTCCTCTGCTATGGGTGGGGCCACTCACATGCTGAGTGAGGCCAAAGGATTCAAGTATGGAACTCAGCTCTTTTGCGTATCTGTCATTAACATTATCCACATGAATATTAAAATCGCCTATAATGACTAAACCATCAAAATCTGTGCACACAACTGAAAGCAACTCAGTGAAATGATCAGTGAAACTATGGCATGACTGTGGCGGCTTGTACACAACAATAATAAGAATGGAAGAAGATTTCTTTTGTTCTATTTTAAAAGAAACATACTCAAATGATGAAAATTTCCCAAGAGACACTCTATGGGAGACAATACGATCTTTAAAAACTGCTGCTATGCCCCCCCCCCCCTTTTATTTTCTCGTGTTTCATGTTCAAATTTGAAATTTGGTGGTGAGGCTTCTATTAAAACTGCATCTCCTGTATTATGGTCAAGCCATGTTTCAGTCATAAACATAAAATCAAGATCATACGAACAGATACAATTATTAATTAAAAATGATTTGTTGCATAGTGATCTGACATTAAGTAGAGCAAGGTTAAAATTAATATCAGTGTCAGTGGGTTTAGTTGATTGATTACAAAGAACTGGAATTAGATTTCCAGAGTTGGACCGTCTAACTGCTGTCCTTCTTTTAAATTTGTGTTTATTCAAGTTAAAACACATTTCTGAGCTGGTGCGAGGAACACACACAGTCTCTATTGGTTTAAAAAGTGAACTCTGTTGTACTTTGTTAAGTTCCAGATGCATAACTGAGTCAGCACAGTTCAGTGGCAGGACTGTCGTTACACTGCCAGACGGACAGGGGTCAGTGTTTGCACCACAGTACTCACCCGGTGCTGGTAAGGAGGAGGAGGGGGGGGGGGGTAAGGAGGAGGAGGAGGGGGGTGGTGGGGGCCGAGAAGCCTCAGATGTA